GAAGGTCAAGTTAATTTTATTTAATTATATTTTCTCTATAGCACCAGATCACAACAGAAGTCATTTAAAGTTACCTTTCTTATAGAACATGTCTATACCTTGCTCTTTCATTAAGCAAACTAAATAGCCTTATGTTATTTATCTTATTTACACGACGGCATGTCATTTCAGTCTCTACGTTATGGTTGCGCTCTCTGTATCACGCACAGCGGAGTTCCGTTCAGATTGTGTAGTACTCGTACTGAAACTCTCGTGACGCTTCCGGTGATATTAACATCTGCCGTCTCACTAATGAGGACATAAATACATGAACAACATCTCCAGAACTGCTCTGAGAGTCACTTCTTGAGCATTTGACCGTTTCATTTCAGTAAAACTATCATCATGTCATACACACACAGAAATGTAATGGTATTCACGGCAACCCGTCAAAATAAAAGTTCGGTTTAACTTGAGGGCATTGGCAGAAATATATTACTATTGTTGAGTAGAATGTACGTAACAGGCTGCTACTACTACTACTAAAATGATTAAAACCTTATTTTTAAGGAATAAGCATTCAATATTTCTTCAATGTTTTAATTGTAATATTAAATAACCTTTATTTTCCAAAAAATTTAATTTGTTTAATTTTCAATACTTAAAAGATAGATTAAATGAATGTTTTATGCCTTAAAACAAAATGTAAATACACAACACAAAATTTCTGAGCAAAAAATCATAAGGCTATTGTAAGAATAAATGAAACTTGTTTTATGCTTTCAAATTAAACATGCTAAAACAGAATTTGGTTACAATAAAACATAAGGTTGGACAAATGAAACATTTTATAGGGCCCTAAACGTAATATTTGTTAAACTTTTAATAAATTGATGTTAAATTGTTTAAGTTTCATGATTTTAATTAATTAGACATGCTTTTTGATTAATAAAATGTAATTTAACCATTAAAAAAAAAAAAAAAACGAATCCCCCGGAGCCGTGTGAGACACTTTTATTTTTTTTATTTTTATTTTTTTTTATGGATGGGTGCTTTTTATTTCACTTCTTTTGGACTGATGCATGCAACACCCGCTGACTGCAATGATAGAGCTTGGAATAGGCAGGACCATTTTTAATCTAACTCCGACTGGATTCGTCTGAAAGAAGAAAGTCATATACACCTTAGGCTGAATTTTCATTTTTGGGTGAACTAACCCTTTAAGCCTTTTTCAATTATCGAATATCGGTTTTGTAGTATTGGATCTACCGATATATAGCGCCATCTTGTGGCTGTTTTGAGGAGAGATGAGTCAGCAACAGCGTTTACATGCAAAGTAACTTGATTTGCTTTAATTGATATACTGATAGCATATCAGCCAATAATGCACAAATGAGATGTTCTATAAATTAGTGATATTTAGTTTAAGCTTGGCTTTCAGAAGTAGAGACAAACTGAAGTCATGCAATCCATAAAATCAGGTCCCGAAGACGTCACTTCACATGAGTTTAAGACAGACTTAAACAAGTACATGCTGGAAACAAACCAGCTTAGTTTAGCTCTCTCTGTTGTTTATGCAATATAATTATACTGTAGTAAAGCTGCAGTTTATGAGTCCTACTCACTCACCGGGTTGATGCTCAGGCATGTTCCAGTATGGTTTTGTTTGCAAGGAGGGAATGAAATTACAGTATTGATAGTGTAATAAACAAAAATGTGTGTTCAGTTCAGTAATGTTTTTATCATTGTGTCAAAAACGGAAGTAAAACGATAAATAATAGTTTTGTATATCAGTTATCAGTCAAATAAACATGCAGATAATTGGTATTGTATCAGTTCTAAATAAATCAATATCGGTCAGTCGCTAAGTATAATGGAGTGTAGTGTGTGAGTGCGTGTTTGCGCGCGTGTGTTTGAGTGCATGTTTGCGCGCGCGTGTGTGTGAGTGAGTGTCTGTCTGTCTGTCTCTGTGTGTCTGTCTGTCTGTCTGTCTGTCTGTCTGTCTCTGTGTGTGTGTGTGTGTGTGTGTGTGTGTGTGTGTGTGTGTGTGTGTGTGTGTGTGTGTGTGTCTCTCTGCCATATGGATCCGTTCTCTCACCTGAGGTCCTCTGGATGGCAGCTCTGCTCCCCTGTTGAAGTGTTTGAGTTTCAAAAGCATTAAAAAAATGAAAGTACCAGGAAGATTTTCTGTCACTTGGTAATGCATATGACAGGTTGATGCAGGGAACTGAAGGAGTGTTGCGGGCTAGAATTTGCAAACATGTAAATGAGCTTCTTAAATTCGGTACACTGCCTTATCTAGACACTCTCTACATGCATTCACTATATAAGTTATTACGTTTACATTTAGTCATTTAGCAGACACTTTTATCCAAAGCAGCTTACAAATGAGGACAATGGAAGCAATCAAATTCAACAAGAGAGCAATGATATGTAAGTGCTATAACAAGTCTCAGTTAGCATAACGCAGTACACATAGCAAGGTTTTTTTTATTATTATAATTTATTTTTAATTATATAATAAATAAAAAGAGAATGGATAGAATAGAAAAAGAAAGAGCAAGCTAGTGTTAGACCTTTTTTTGCTTTTGATAATTGTATTATAAATAAAAAGAAAACAAATAGATAGGTGTAGCGAATCAGCTCATGGGGAAATATGAATAATTAATCATAACTAGTTAAAATTCATTATAAATATTTAGATCCGCTGTAGATATTTAGCTGACCTCTCAGGGTCAACTGTCTGTCAATTCTAAGAACGTTAGTTTCCTGGTTAAGGGAAATAACTTTCTTACTGTACAATTCTACAAAGAGCTTGTAGCATAAATCTGCATGATTAAGTGACTCCAGTTATGAGCAAACAATGAACAACGTCAAGTGTGATACAAGTAAGGTTTTATTAACTACATAAACACTTAAACTAGTCTAGCATACACACACACACACATGCAGTTGGTATAGGAAAGGGTTAAAGCTTAGTAAGGGTTAAAACTCAGTAAAGAGGAGAGAAAATAAGAATATGAAGTTATGGAACCATTTGCATACAAAGACAACATACACCATGACCTGAAGGATATGTGTGTTCATTCAAAGAAAGGTTTTCCTATGAATTAATTAGTAGAAAAGTCAATTTCTACTGTGCATTGTGCCTCTTGCTATGGAACATGCAGTGATTTTCCCTACTTACATTCCTGTGGGTCATAAAACCAGTGATATCAGCATTAGTTGCCATGGGGACCAGGGGGGCCTGGTGTCGTTGCAGACATCCTGGCACCCAGTTTATTGGGTGAGGGGACTGTGACGATTTGTTAATTTAATAAATAACTGATTTGTTAAATCAAATGAAAAATTGTGTTTTTGATTGGTCCAGATGCTACATAGGATACAAAAAGATTAGAGAAGCTAGTGTGTGTGTCAGTTAGTAAATGAATAGAGTGCAAGCCTAAAAGGGGCAATATATATATATTATAATATATATATATATATATATATATATTAGAATAGAGAGTGCTAGAGGGTCAAATAAAGATGGAAGAGATGTGTTTTTAGCTTATTCTTGAAGATGGTTAAGGACTCAGCTGCTCGGATTGAGTTGGACAGGTCATTCCACCAGGAGGGAACATTTAAGGTAAAAGTCAGTGAAAGTGATTTTGTGCTTCTTTAGGGTGCACAATAAAGCACCGTTTACTTGCAGAAAGCAAGCTTCTAGAGGGCACGTAACTCTGAAGTAATGAATTTAGGTAAAGGGGTGCAGAGCCAGTGGTGGTTTTGTAGGCAAACATCAGTGCCTTGAATTTTATGTAAGTATAAATATTTAATAATTTTATTACCTACTAAAATGTGATAGGCTGCGTATTTTCAGATTTTTCCAGTTCATATTTAAAGGATATGTTAAATATCTGAAACAAATCTGAATTTCAATGTCCTCAATCAAATAGTGCCCTCCAGTGGCAATTTGGCATGTATCCTATCAGAAGATAGATGTGTATTAGACTTATTGTCTGTGCTCTTGTTTTACACTCTCTGTCATGGTCTGGCGGTTACTGAATTAAAGTTCACCAAAAATGACAGTTCTGTCATGATTTACTCTCCCTCGCGACGTCCTAAACCTGTATGAGTTTTTCTCCTGCGAAACGCAAATGGAGATATTTTGTAGAATGTTGCTAACCAATCTGTTTTGGTCACCATTGACTTTCATTGCATAGACCAAAAACAAGCACCGAGACATTTGAGGCGTGTTTAGTGTGGCACGTGGATATGATATCTGTGTTGTACCAAGTTAATTGACTGAAAGAGAACAGTCACATTAAAGTCACACATTGGATTCCCATACAGTAGTGCTTTGATAAATTACCCAAGTAAATGTGTTTGGTTGATTTACCTTGTTTGACGGTTATTGATTTATTTTTCCCCTAGTTTGAAATGCTGACCGGCACATTACCGTTCCAAGGAAAAGACCGGAACGAGACTATGAACATGATTCTTAAGTAAGTGTGGCTGTTAACACGAGCCAGTCTGTGTGATGTTTGATTGGTCAGATATTTTATCAGTGTAACTGACTGGTAAACTGAAGAACCAACAGGAAACACTTACACAGTCATCATGATCACTGAACAAGTGAACTGAGCTTATGCACATAAAATGCTGGTAATGTTGTATTTTTTCCCCTGTTTGTTGCTGCACATCAGAGCAAAGCTGGGAATGCCACAGTTTTTAAGTTTGGAAGCACAAAGTCTTTTACGAATGCTCTTCAAACGAAATCCATCAAATCGTTTAGGTGAGTCACCTGCGTTTCTCGTCATGTTTTGTGAATGCAAGCACTAGGCCGTGACTTGTTGAGTTTGAATATAAGCAGACTGTGGTGTAATCATCATAAGCGCTCTTTTCCAGGAGCGGGTCCTGATATGATCACTGAACAAGTGAACTGAGCTTATGCACATAAAATGCTGGTAATGTTGTATTTTTTCCCCTGTTTGTTGCTGCACATCAGAGCAAAGCTGGGAATGCCACAGTTTTTAAGTTTGGAAGCACAAAGTCTTTTACGAATGCTCTTCAAACGAAATCCATCAAATCGTTTAGGTGAGTCACCTGCGTTTCTCGTCATGTTTTGTGAATGCAAGCACTAGGCCGTGACTTGAGTTTGAATATAAGCAGACTGTGGTGTAATCATCATAAGCGCTCTTTTCCAGGAGCGGGTCCTGACGGAGTGGAGGAGATCAAACGGCACACGTTCTTCTCCACCATCGACTGGAATGCAAGTATCTGTTATCACAGCATTACACACTTCTCTCAGCAGAGTGCCTCATCCTCCATCATTGAGTGTGAGTGTGTGAGAGAGAGAGTGTGTGTGTGTGTGTGTGTGTGTGTGTGTGTGTGTGTGTGAGAGAGAGAAAGAGAGCGTGTGTGTCAGAGAAAGAGAGTGTGTGGGAGTGGGAGTCTGCCGGATCAGGCTGTGTTTGACTAATAATCACAGCCGGGAGCGTCTGAAACACCAAATGCTGATCCACTGACCATGAAGAGGAGAAGAACCGCTTCCCAGAGAGATCCCATCAGTCACAGATTACATTTAGTCAGCATCAAATCATAATGAGCCTCTTCACGCTCCTGCTCACTGTGCAGACTTTAGCCACTTTCATGCATGAACCCCGTTAAATTGCAGTAAAACATCATATGGCTTTGTGTCTTTTTTCTGCCTCTTCATACATTTAAAACTTATTTGTTCAGGTGGACTTAAGGTTTTTTTTTTTTTTTTTTTTTGGGGGGGGCGGTCCAATTTGACGAATAAAACCATTTTGAGACGCAAGCGTTTGACTTGGCTGGAGTAGCTCAGCAGCGCATCAGAAATGATGATAATCAGGATTTTTGTGCAGATTAACATCTTGGAAGGGAGAGCTATGTAGTCTTAATGGGCAGCGTTTCGGTCACTATTTCATATTATTTAGGTTGTCTGACAACAGAAACAGTAAAATATAACAAGGAAAACTGTTTTATTGAGGATTGGGCTGCATTGAATTACAGTATGTGGGCACAGAGAGGCAAACAAATGTATTAATAAATAATAAATGTACATTTTGCATGTTCAGAAGAAGTGAGCTGCCCCTCCTGCAAATAATGTGAACAGGCTTGAAAGAAGTAATGGGAACCTGGTATTTCTATGTTTTCATGTGTCTAATAGACATGAACAAGTTCTTTGAAAAACATCTATGACCTATGAAACATGTCTAGTCTTCATGCCCTATGCTGAGTATGGTTTCACTAATAATAAACATACATTTGCATAAAGCATCCATATTTGTCCATGCTCATGTTGATTAGAGTATTAAAAACGTGAAAATTAATTTACAGTACATTTAGAACAGATAGAAATGCGCGATTAAGTTGCGATTAATCATTAGTTAGCTCATGACAATCGTGTGATTAATCGCGATTAAATATTTTAATCGATTGATAGCCCTAATATATGTGTGTATATATATATATATATATATATATATATAAAATACCTTGGTACGTGTACTGTGTTAGGCTAACCGAGACTTGTCATTTGCACTTGCATATCATTGCTCTTTTGTTGGTTTTGATTGCTTCTATTGTCCTCATTTGTAAGTCGCTTTGGATAAAAGTGTCTGCTAAATGACTAAATGTAATGTTAATGTCTATCAACTGAAGGCACATCACAACAGCAATCAAAGTGATTTCATTTTGACTTACTGCTTGACAGCAGCTTTGTTACGTCAGAGCGTCCTAACCTTTTGTGCTCAACCCATTAATCCAATGGCTTTGTTTGCACACAGTGTCAAAACTGAGCTTGATAATGTATAATAATGTTGCTTCTAATCTTGAGATATTGCCGTGGCTGATTTACCGGTGTTTTCTAACATGCAAGCACTAAAACAGAAAGATGTGCTTGAATTTGCATAGTCTGTACATGTAAAATCATCTTATTTTATTCCAAATAAAAAAAGAAAACTTAATGATCTTCATTTAAAATGTAACTCGCTCCACCTCTGAAACGGCTTTTCTTCTTTTTTTTTAATCAGTAGATGATGAGTATCTTACTACTGTTTCTTTTAGGTTACTGTTGTAGGTAATGCAGCCTTTCTGAAAATGTGATGAAGATTGTAACAGTATTATTAGCAAATATGAGTTGAAAAGGATGTGGAGAGGCGTTCAGTGGCTCATGATGCCTCACTGTCCAATGCAAACTCACCTTCAGCTCTGACCCCATTATCATTAGAAACCAAATCCAGTCCAGAATGTCCTGCGGACCCTTGTCACACGTACCATGGGTTGTTAAAGCTGATTCATGTTAACTTCAGTCTTTACCTTTTTCACATGTGGCAGGAGGGACATATTTTATATGAGTGTAAAGCATGTGTTTATTGTTTGTGATTGTAGAAACTGTACAGAAGAGAACTTCAGCCTCCATTCAAACCTGCTGCAGGGAAACCAGATGACACCTTCTGCTTCGACCCAGAATTCACAGCCAAAACTCCCAAAGGTGCAATGGAGACGAGAGCTAGTTCTGTTCAGATATTGCTGCTGGAGATGCCGTTGAAGGCTTGAGTTTTGTTTTTGTGTATGTTTGGCAGATTCTCCAGGTATTCCTCCCAGTGCAAACGCTCACCAGCTCTTCAAAGGCTTCAGTTTTGTAGCTCCAGTCTCTCTGGAGGACAGCAGAAGTGCCCCGCTGGTCAACATTCTCCCCATAGTGCAGGTAAACCACTAAGCTATCGGTTTATAGTTTACTAGGTTATGTGTGTAATAGGGGTGAAACGGTACACAAACATGACGGTTCGGTACGTACCTCGCTTTTGAAGTCACCGTTTCAGTACAGCAAGGGGAAAAACTAAAAGCTTGTTTTTTTTTTTTTAAATTAAGCAGTGGTTTAATATATATATATTTTTAAATTGCTCTTTAAATAAATTTAATTATAATTTAAATTTTCTTAGTAGTTTCTATAGTGAGCCCTTTTACATTAATATAACGTTACACTTAACAACAGAGCCCAAACTTAAATTCAGTTATTTATTTTTTAAATATAATAATCAACACCCAATTAAAAAATATATGTATATGCAAACATGTAAATTGCACATAATGCAGTTTTTAAATTAACTTCTAAATTATAACATTTCTATTTGTTGTTGAAATATAATCATTTTCACATTGGCTCTCATAACTTGATTCATAACAGATTTATTTAAACATACATTGAATAATTAAGACATCACTAGCAGGTAAAGTAAAATGTAATGAGTATATAGTCTAATATTTCGCGAAATGCTCTTCTCTAGACTTTATTTATAGCGCACTAACGAGCTGTGGACACTGATGATTTGAGTTAATGAAATGCTATACTTTGGTTACAAGCTGTTTTATTGCCGTCTTTCCACGGTTGAAACACTGATTGAGCGATTACATGATGCACGAGATGTTCGTTCATGTTTATTTCAAGTTAAAGGCACAATATTTAAGAATTTTATTAAAATATCCAAAAACCACTAGAACAGTGTTATATATTTTGCTGACTTGTGTACTTACATTATCCCAAATGTTTCGAAGAATGTTTAAATCCAGAGAAATAAACAATTTTAAAGAGGTCATATGATGCTTTTTTTAAAGATCATTATTTTGTGTATTATTTGTGTACATTATTGTAGGTCCTCTATGCCCCGCCTCTCTCAAACACTTCGTTTTCTACAAAGTCCCACCTCCCGACAAGCGGAGTCTGCTCTTTTTGGCCAGCTGACCCAGTGCATTGTGATTGGCCGAACACCTGCGGCATTATGCTAATATTTCCACATAGTGAGGTAGATATGTGTGGGGCGTGTTAGAACGAGACGTTTTAGGGGGGCGTGGCAGAGTCTTAACTTTGATAAAGAATATCTCTTTGGTTTTGAGACTTTAGTCTTTGCAACTTCAGGGATCTTATCTATTCACAATCAGCTTGTAACACTCCAAAGAGAAAGGAAAACTTGAAATCGCATCATATGACCCCTTTAACTAGTGACGCGGAGCGTGTCCATAGTGTCATTGTGTCGCCTGCCAATGACGTCATAACCCACTCGATTTCCGGTTTTGTGAAAATTACATTTTGTGCCTTTAAATCTAGTAGTAAAGAGGAAGGGATGATCGCGCTGCCATTTGAACTGAGGCGTTTATACAGTGATCTGTCGCATTTATTGTTCAAATTTCCTGACAAAATGGACATTCCAGTGGTTAAAACAGCGCTGTATTTGTTCGGTACACATGCATGCCGAACCGAAAGAACCATACTGAAAATGTTCGGTATGAATACGTGTACCGTTACACCCCTAGTATGTAGTATTTGTTTATATATATATATATATGTATCTAAATATGTGTGTGTGTGTTCTGTGTCAGATGCATGGAGGCATGGCTCAGTTTGCAGACGTGTACGAGCTGAAGGAGGATATCGGCGTGGGTTCGTACTCCATATGCAAACGCTGCACACACAGAGTCACTGCCATGGAGTTTGCTGTGAAGGTGAGACCTCAAAACAATCATTACTGATGCCTCAGTCAGTCTGGCCTACAAGATGCTGTGATACATGCACACTAATGCTTCACTGCTCTGGTGTTAAACAGATTATTGACAAAAGCAAGCGCGACCCGTCAGAGGAGATCGAGATCCTGATGCGGTACGGCCAGCATCCCAACATCATCACGCTGAAGGACGTGAGTGACGCAGCTCTGGTCTCTGGTCTCCAGCTGTGTGTGCGCGGCTCACTCAGGTGTGTGTGTGTGTCAGGTGTACGACGAGGGCCGCTTCGTGTATCTGGTGACGGAGCTGATGAAGGGCGGCGAGCTGCTGGATAAGATCCTCAGACAGAAGTTCTTCTCGGAGCGAGAGGCCAGCGCTGTGCTCTACACCATCACCAAAACTGTGGACTACCTGCACTGCCAGGGGGTGAGAGACCAGACTCTATCCACGTGTTTACCAGAAGAGCTTCACCAATCAGTAGCTGCTGCTAGCTATGAGAGTTGTACAAAAACAGCATTGCACAGGGATATTTGTTAACATATTGATTTAATTTCCCATTACTGTAGGACATGATAGCTTAGTGATGTAATGGGGAAGTTGGGGAAGATGGGGAAGTTGTGGCCTAATGGTTAGAGAGTCGGACTGATAACCCAAAGGTTGTGGGTTCGAGTCTCGTACCGGCAGGGATTGTAGGTGGGGGGAGTGAATGTACAGCGCTCTCTCCCACCTTCAATACCACGAGCTGCTGGATAAGATCCTCAGACAGAAGTTCTTCTCGGAGCGAGAGGCCAGCGCTGTGCTCTACACCATCACCAAAACTGTGGACTACCTGCACTGCCAGGGGGTGAGAGACCAGACTCTATCCACGTGTTTACCAGAAGAGCTTCACCAATCAGTAGCTGCTGCTAGCTATGAGAGTTGTACAAAAACAGCATTGCACAGGGATATTTGTTAACATATTGATTTAATTTATCGTAAGCATAAATAATTGTCTCAGTTCTGGCACTTTTCCCCATTACTGTAGGACATGATAGCTTAGTGATGTAATGGGGAAGTTGGGGAAGATGGGGAAGTTGTGGCCTAATGGTTAGAGAGTCGGACTCATAACCCAAAGGTTGTGGGTTCGAGTCTCGTACCGGCAGGGATTGTAGGTGGGGGGAGTGAATGTACAGCGCTCTCTCCCACCTTCAATACCACGACTGAGGTGCCCTTGAGCAGCCATTTATCTGAGCTGCATAAATGGCTGCCCACTGCTCCAGGTGTGTGTTCACTGCTGTGTGTGTGCACTTTGGATGGGTAAATGCAGAGCACTAATTCTGAGTATGGGTCACCATACTTGGCCACATGTCACTTCACTTTACTTTACTTTAACACACATATATATGTGACCCTGGAGCCCAAAACCAGTCATAAGGGTACATTTTTCGAAATTGAGATTTATGCATCATATGAGAGCTGAATAAATAAGCTTTCCATTGATGTATGGTTTGTTAGGATAGGACAATATTTGGTCAAGATACAACTATTTGAAAATCTGTAATCTGAGGGTGCAAAAAAAATCTAAATATTGGGAAAATCATCTTTAAAGTTGTCCAAATGAAGTTCTTAGCAATGCATATTACTAATCAAAAATTAGGTTTTAATATATTTACAGTAAGAAATTTACTAAATATCTTCATGGAACATGATCTTTACATAATATCCTAATGATTTTTGGCATAAAAGAAAAATCGATCATTTTGACCCATACAACGTATTTTTGGCTGTTGCTACAAATATACCCCCAGTGACTTAAAGGGGTCATAAGATGCTTCATGCACTTTTACAAGTAGTTTGAACTGAAATGTGTGCTGGCAGTGTACACACAACCACCCTATAATGATAAAAATCCACCTGGTGTTTTTTCTTTTTTAATTTGGTTAAATCTTTACCCCTTTCTCAAATTGAGCCGATCTCAGATGCTGCTGATGCGGCAGGGCTACGACGCCGCCTGTGACATCTGGAGTCTGGGAGTCCTGCTCTACACCATGCTGGCGGGGTCTGTGTGACATCAGCAGTTTCCATCTGTTTTTGACAGTGAAAATTAGGGCTGCGCGATAAATCGCATGCGATATTTAACGCGCATCTTGTCAGTAAAGCCATTCTGTAATCAGCAGTAAATCTCCATCACCTGCGGGCTTTCACATGGAGCAGCATTAACTACACAGAGCCGTTGTTCACCGAAAAGCTGCGCAAAATATGATCGCAGCTCGTCAGTGAACAACGTGTGTAGTTAATGCTGCTCCATGTGAAAGCCCGCAGGTGTTGGAGATTTACCGCTGATTAAAGAACCGGCTTTCTGACAAGATGCGCGTTAAATATCGCATGCGATTTATCGTGCAGCCATAGTGAAAATGCATTTTAAAGGGGTCATATAATGCGATTTCATGTTTTCCTTTGTCTTTGGCGTGTTAAAAGCTGTTCGTGCATACAGAAGATTTGTAAAGTCGCAAAATTAAAGTCTCAAACCCGAAGAGATATTCTTTATAAAAGTGAACACTCAGACCGATGAGCTTTGAAAAAAAAAGGCGTTTAAAGCCCGCAGGTGTTGGAGATTTACCGCTGATTAAAGAACCGGCTTTCTGACAAGATGCGCGTTAAATATCGCATGCGATTTATCGTGCAGCCATAGTGAAAATGCATTTTAAAGGGGTCATATAATGCGATTTCATGTTTTCCTTTGTCTTTGGCGTGTTAAAAGCTGTTCGTGCATACAGAAGATTTGTAAAGTCGCAAAATTAAAATCTCAAACCCGAAGAGATATTCTTTATAAAAGTGAACACTCAGACCGATGAGCTTTGAAAAAAAAGGCGTTTCAGAAAGGCGGGGCATAGAGGAGAAACAATAATGTACAGTATGTTGAAAATAATGTTTTTTTTTTACTTTAAACCGCATAAACTCATTTAATTGCACCAAATACACAAAATAATGTTCTTTTTTTAGCAGCATCATATGACCCCTTTAAAAAATGTTTTTGCAAACTTTTTTTAATTCGCTGTCTTCACACTGCTTCCACTGCTTTTACTTTTAAAATAATTGTTTCTGTGAAATGGAGAGTAATGGAGATGAGTGCTGAGAGCATGCAGTCAGGACAGCTGTGGTTTGATGTGGCAGAGAAAGCAGCTTTTCAAAATGAGTAGTTTTTCATTTAGGTTTGTTTTGAGAAAAAAAAATTGTTCTGAGGTCCATTTTCCAAAATGATACTTATAACTTTCTTTTAATAATGAGAGCACATTGTGCTAATACACTTTGAAAATAACACCAAATTAATCTGCTGGGGTTTTTTTCTTAGATGCAGTTAAAAACTACATTTACTTGTATATTTAACATTTTCAGATAATGATTCTAAGATGCACTCCTTGGATACAGCCCAGTTTATTTTCCTCATCCTTTTGAAATAAAATGATATAAATAGCGTTTTTGACAGTGCACCCAATGTTTTACAGATGCAAATATTTAATAATATATTTTCCTCATTCATTTGAAAAAAAAAACCTTATTTTATTAAAGTATTTAATTATTTGTGATCTAATTTTTATTTGTTATATAGATATTTTAGTTATATAGATTTATAGATATTTTAACTATTTGGCTATTCAGAAACCAGCGTTGTTGTGGCTGCTATTTTATTTTTCTGTTTTTCATAAGCCTGTAGATCAGTCGTTTCTGAATTTAATAAAACATTTAAACTTTTTAATTTGACGAAATAAGCAAAAAAAACATCAAATCCAAAAAGTAACAAAAATACAGATGAGTGATGCTTGTTTGAGAGGTGCATCTTGTTCTTACCACGCTAATTACTTCAGCGTTAATATACAGTCTGACACTTTACAGCAGTCCGCATTCTTTAGGAGTCTTTTCAGTTCATTTTCATGAAAAAAAAATGTAAATGAAATAAATTGCTTCTTGACTGGGTTTCAGCTTTTTAAAATCATGTTATAAAACGGAGTTCCAGTCCTTGATTCTGATTGGCTGAGCCACGTTCAAAGCTGGTGTAAATTACTCTACAATGTAACATACACCTTTGTTTACATTTGTGTGTTGCTCTGCAACCACTTTGTTACAACCACAACTGTTTCTGAGGAACTACATTGTTTGGTGGAAGAATACTGTTTTTATTAATATCATTACACTTTATTTGCTCTGTTTTATTTTGTGAAACCTTACTACGTACAGTGGGTACGGAAAGTATTCAGACCCCCTTAAATTTTTCACTCTGTACAATATAGCTTAGTGCTTTAATTTGCTCTGGAATAACTTAAACTTTGTTCCAGTTTTCTATCACATTATGCAAAAAGGGGTTTCCATATTGGTAAATGATTGGATGCATTAGTTTTTGTTTTTTTTAAACAAACAAACATTGTATGGAAACCTGGCTATGGATTCTGAACTAGCCAGATAAGTCTCTTTATTTGGCTAAATGAATGAAAGCACGTGTGAATGTGCTGAATCCTGTGTTTGTGCAGGTACACACCCTTTGCTAACGGCCCCAACGACACGCCGGAGGAGATCCTGCTGCGCATCGGCAGCGGGAAGTTCTCCTTGAGCGGAGGAAACTGGGACTCGGTGTCCGACTCCTCGAAGGTAGTTATGATACGTAATAAAACCATTCATAGTGGTGCTTGTGTTTGATTGGACGTCAGTAGAGCGCTAGTTCACAGTCCTTAAACTGAAGCTGAGGAGGAGCAGAGTTTGAATGAACAGTGTCTGTGGTCGGCATCAAGCGAGTGTGATGTTTGAGAGCTTGTGTTGTGTGCAGGGCCTGCTGTCTCATATGCTGCATGTGGACCCTCACCAGCGGTACTCCGCAGAACAGGTGCTGAAGCACTCGTGGATCGCCTGCCGCGACCAGAACCCGCACTTCCAGCTCACTCGCCACGAGGCGCCTCATCTGGTGAAGGTACGGCACGCTTCTCGATCCTCAGATGCTGAGGCGCTGCTTGACTGTGTCATGTGTGTCTCTCGCAGGGAGCGATGGCTGCCACGTACTCCGCGCTCAACCACCAGACATGTAAGCCACTTCTGGAGCCGGTCGCTGCCTCCAGTCTGGCTCAGCGCAGGAGCATGAAGAAGCTGACGTCTGCAGACATGTCCTGAGGAGCCTGACACGCATCTCGAGCTTCTGTTTCTCTCTGGGAGAGTGAAGAACACCAGCTCCATCACGTGTTTGAATGCTCTCTCTCCGAGACCCAGAGCTCTAGAAGAAACGTCCAGCTCGTGTAGTTTGTGCAGAAAGTACAGGAAGCCTGTTTGTTGGGCCATTAAGAACATTTCGTGACAATCCAATCCCGCAGATTTCCTGTATATCAGGATTGGTTTTCGCTAAATTCTCCAGTATGTGGTACGAGACGTTCTTCTAAATGCTTTACAGGTGAAACGATGTCTAGTTTTTCCCACGTGAGCTGAAAGGAGATGATAAATGTGTCTAGAGCAGGGGTGCCCAAACTCGGTCCTGGAGGGCCGGTGTCCTGAAGAGTTTAGCTCCAACCCCAATTAAACACACCTGAACCAGCTAATCAAGCTCTTACTAGGCATACTAGAAACTTGAAGGCAGGTGTGTTGAGGCAAGTTTGAGCTAAACTCTGCAGGACACCGGCCCTCCAGGACCGAGTTTGGGCACCCCTGGTCTAGAGCATCACAAACAGGCTTGGTTTTCCTCACGCACGATACGCTTGTGACCTGCACATTCCTCGCTGTTCTCCATCTGTGAGCCACTTCCTGTCCCATTAGTGTTGCGAAGCACATGGCATTACCTCAGAAGCACTCAGTGTTAGCGTCTCTTCGGCTCGGTGTATATAGACTCGTTCGTCATGTGTTTGTGAGGATCCCTGAGCACATTTGCACTGAGGCTCGGCAGCTCGTCTGTTCCCGTCTCGGACCGCTCTTTGCCTTTTCTTGAATGGGAAGTACATGAGCAAAAGGTGGAGAAATTAATCTATATTTATAAAGTCGAATGAGGTGAGTGAATGTAGATGAGACTGAATCCACGAAATCGCATCTCTCTGCTCCAGATGGAGGGAAAAATTATTCCATACAACTTTTTAAAGACATTGTGGAAACTGTATCATATTGTATTTATTTCACTTGTTTTTAAGATTTTATTTTTCTTTCAGGTGATGTACATATTGACATTAAAGAACATTATTGACATGATGCTTTTCTTGTGTGTTTTTATTGTCAAGTTTGAGTAAAATCACGAAGCAGCGAAGCTCTAAACGGCATTCTGAAAATGTAAAGAACTAACGGAGGTGCTGTTTATTAGTAGTTCTGCACACAAGAGCGTTGAAGCCCTGAGGAATAAACTCTTCTGCTTTGTGGTGATGAACAGTGCTACTTGTAACACAATGCAAGTAACGCGAGTTACGTAATCGGATTACTTTTTTCTAGCAACTAGTAAAGTAATGCATTACTTTTTAGTGTACAGGACAATATCGGAGTTACACTAAGTCAGATTTATTATGTTTTTTAAAGAAGTCTCTTGTGCTCACCAAGCCTGCATTTATTTGATCAGAAATACAGCAGAAGCAGTAATACTGTGAAATATTATTACTATTTAAAATAAATGTTTTCTATGTGGATATATTGTCAAATGTAATTTATTTCTGTGATGCGCAGCTGTATTTTCAGCATCATTGCTCCAGTCTTCAGTGTCACATGATCTTCAGAAATCAGTCTAATATGCTGCTCAAGAAATATTTACTGTTATTATTAGTTAAACAGTCGACTACATTTTTTTTTTCAGGATTCTTTGATTTATCTGAAATAGAAAGCTTTTGTAACATTATACACCATACCATTCAAAAGCTTGGAGTCAGTATAGTTTTTGTTTTGTTTGTTTTTGGAAAAGATTATTATAGAGATGAACCCTTATTTAGCAAGGATGCTTTAAATTGATCAAAAGCGATGATAAAGACATTTATAATGTTACAAAATATTTCTGTTTCAGATAAATGCTGTTCTTCTGAACTTTTTATTAAACCATAAACCTGAAAAAATTATACTCGGCTGTTTTCAACAATAATAATAATAATAGAGCAGTAAATCAGCATATTAGAATGATTTCTGAAGATCATGTGACACTGAAGACTGGAGTAATGATGCTGAAAATTCAGCTTTGATCACAGAAATAAATTACAGTTGAACAGATATTCACACAGAAAACAGTTATTTTAAATGGTAATAATATTTCACAATATTACTGCTTTTGCTGTATGGAAATCAGGAGTGAGTGCCCTCTACTGGACATTTCCTTCAGCCTGAGACTTTCACGGTGTGAAAGGACTTCTACAATTGCCAAAAATATAACTATATATATATATGTATGTATGTATATATATATATATATATATATATATAAATAAAAAGCAAGCAAGCCCAGTCCAGATGAGAAAAAGTAACGCATTACTTTCCATAAAAAGTAACTAGGTAACGCAATTCGTTACTTTTTTGGAGTAACGCAATATTGTAATGCATTGCTTTTAAAAGTAACTTTCCCCAACACTGGTGATAACAATGGCGTAATCGGAATAATTGTGTCCAGACAGGTGAATTATTGATTTAGTCTGGTGTTGTGGCCGCATCGGATGAGCAATGAATAAATGACCTGCCTTTCGTTAATGATTCCTTGTTTAAATACTTCACTCCTTGCACATCTTACAGCCACAGGCACCGCGTTTCAAAAGGACCGAGGCCAAAGTCCACGTTAATAACCTGAAAATACAGGAAGCTGAGCGCGCGCGCTGCCAAGTCATGCTGTAAAGAGGTCTAAATATGACTCTCAGTCGCTAAAATCCCAACTGTACAGTGTCTCATCTTTCGCGAAGATCGTTCAGATATGATGCGCTGTCTGCTCTTCGGCTTCTGCCTGTGTTTGGCTCACATCAGCGGAGCACAGGTAAATATAATGCTCCTATTGCATTGTGAAGAATGAACGTAAAACGTATTGATATGAGAGTAGTGTTATAGATAGCTGCTTTTTTTCTTTCAAACATGTTCGAACTGACCGCTTTGCGCGTCAGAACGCGTACAGACGCGTCGCGGTCCCAGAGCAGGCTTATTTTGCTGAGGCTTTTGACGCAGGAGCTCTGGACAGGTTGGGCTCCCTTCAGTCTCTCACTCAAAATATACAACTATATGTGTGTGACCCTGGAGCACAAAACCAGACATAAGGGTCCATTTTTTTTCGAAATTGAGATGTATGCATCATCTGAAAGCTGAATAAATAAGCTTTGCATTGTATGGTTTGTACAGACTAAGAGATTAGTCAACTATTTGAAAATCTGGAATCTGAGGGTGCAAAAAAAAAAAAAATCTAAATATTGAGAAAATCATCTTTAAAGTTGTCCAAATGAAGTTCTTCGCAATGCATATTACTAATCAAAAATTACGTTTTGATATATTTACGGTAGGACATTTACAAAATATCTTGATGGAACATGATCTTTACGTAATATCCTAATGATTTTTGGCATAAAAGAAAAATCGATAATTTTGACCCATACAATGCATTGTTGGCTATCGCTACTAATATAACCCAGCGACTTAAGACTGCTTTTGTGCTCCAGGCTCACATATATATATATATTATTAGTTTACATTAGATGACTGATATGTCCAGATAGGAAGCCTTTGCTCATTAACGTCAAATGTTTTTCCTTGTTTGCACTGAAGAAACTGGGTTTTGTCCAAAGCAGTGAAAGATGAGCATCTGCAACTTCTCAAATATAACGGTATGCATTTTGTGCAAATAAATTAGAATGTTGGATCTTATAGCGTTGCACATGAAGCAGACGGCTCTGAAGGGGTTTATAATGCAATAATAAATAATGCATGCTAACTGTACTGCATATCATCCTGCTTGTTGCATGGCTGCACAGGGGAGTGGGTTATAGAGGAGTCTAGAGAGCTGAGATTATTAGGAAACAGAGGCCTGGTCCTCAAGTCTCCCGGTGAACACCACGCCATCTCTGCGTACCTGAAGAAGACCTATCACTTCACAGACAAACCTCTGTGCTTACAGTAAGACATGCGATCAGTGCACCCTTTCCTTTAAACCAAGGTTCCTCAAATCTTGCCTTGGAGGTCCAATGCGCTGCAGAGTTTAGCTCCAACCCTGATCAAACTCAGCTACCTGTGATTTTCTAATGATCCTGAAGACATTGATTAGCATGCTCAGGTGTGTTTGATTAGGGTTAGAGCTAAACTCTGCAGGAAAGTGGATCTCTTGGGCCAGATTTGAGGATCCCTGCTTTAAACACTAATACAATCATTTGACTAAATCTTCTCTTGAATCATCCGCAGGTATGAAGTTTTCTTCCCAAAGGGGGTTGATTGTGGTGGAGCCTACATCAAGCTGCTTTCTCATTCAGATGATCTCCGCTTGGTAATGTCTGATGTTTTTAGCTTAGTGCTTTAAAACCTGAAAAACAGAGTGAAACAGTAGTGCCAGAAGTGCCTAAACAGTGTAGTGATTGTGATTTTAGAGCCGGTTCAGTGATGCCACCCCATACACGATAATGTTTGGTCCAGATAAATGCGGCAGCTCACACAAGATCCACTTCATCTTTCGTCATCGTAATCCAGTCACCGGGACATATGAGGAGAAACACGCTCGACAGCCGGAGCTGGATCTCAGCGACTATTTCACTGACCGGCGTCCACATCTCTACACTCTGAGTGAGCAGTCAGTCTTATTTCACACGTTCGTTTGCATCTGACGTAAGTTTCGATTTCAATAAACTAAACAGGTAATCGTTTTAATAGCAAACATCCTGCACTGGATGGAAAGTGTCTGGTCTTGCATGAGGTCGTTCTAAAGCATTCTCTTCTCAGACGTGTATCCTGACGGCTCGTTCGAGATCCTCGTTGACCTGACACTGATTAATAAAGGCAGTCTGTTGGAGGACATGCTCTCGTCAGCGGCGTCTGCTCACGAAGCACAAGAACAGGGGGATTCAGCGAGAGCTGCATTAGTGGACGCGGTTCAGATTCCTGACACAAAGTCGCAGCAGCATCGAAGGTGTGCTGATTTTATTTGAGCATTATTTCTTCACGATACAAAACTAACCTGAAAGATGAGTTGTGAGGTGTTTTAATATTCAGTCCTGGATTGGTGTATAAAGGCATGAATTGGTTGAATGAGTGGCTTTTATAATCTTCAGATGAAGTCACAGAAAAAAAGTCCATAATTGCCCTTTTTAATTTTAAATTTCTTTCTTTCTGAAATCTGAAAAGGCATGGATTCAGAGAGCAATTTGAAGGATGCAGGGCCTACATATAAGACCATATATTTATTGTCTACAATAATATCATAATTGTGGTTTTAATGACTCACTCACCTTACCAAAAAAAAGCAATGTTGAGAGTCCAAAAGCTGATGTGATCGCCTATATTCAGTGGTGTGTGTGTTTCAGGTCAGATGAGCCGTTCACCGTGAGCTCTGTTTCTGCTGTGGGTTTTGAGCTGTGGTCCCTCACTGCAGATGTGATGTTCGACAACATCTTGCTCTGTGACGGTCTGGAAGTAGCCCAGCGCTGGACACAAGACACGTGGGGCCAGAGACAGACCGTAAGCGCAACAGTTTAACCGCATGTTCTTCCACATGCATTCAAATGCACATTACTAGCACACCTGTACTTATAAAGCACATATTAATGCCTTACTCTGCATGACCCTAACTAAACAACTGCCTTACTAACTAACTAAGCAGCAAATTAGGAGTTTGAGGCAAAACTCATAGTTAATAGTTAGCTAATAGTGACAAAGTGTGACCCAAAGTACTTAATTCACTGACACGTCCAAATTAAAGCAATAAGCCCCAAGAAGCCGTGGTTTACAGTGAATTTATAACAGCTAAGGGGTGAAGCGGAGTGCCTAAAACCCCCTTAGCTGTTATAAATTCACTGAAAACCACGGCTTCACGGGGCTTATTGCTTTTATAAACCGGTTATTCCATATACGTAGTACGGTTTCACAAAATAAAACCGCAAATAAAGTGTAATGATATTAATAAAAACAGTATTCTTCCACCAAACAATGTAGTTCCTCAGAAACAGTTGTGGTTGTAACAAAGTGGTTGCAGAGCAACAGACAAACGTAAACAAAGGTGTATGTTACATTGTAGAGTAATTTACAACAGCTTTGAACGCGGCTCAGCCAATCAGAATCAAGGACCGGAACTCTCCGTATTTATAATAAAATCATCTAGTGAAGGCAGATTGTGACGAAATGCTGAGCAGGTGTAGGACATGAGATACACTTTCACTAAACATTCAATTGAAACCTGAAATGTTTTGGTCAATATAACAGCACACTGAACACATCTCCTGTATCGTCCTCTTGTAGCCTGGAGTGATTGAGAAGCTGTTGATGGCGACGGTCAAGCGGCCGTGGCTCTGGGGCCTCTATGTCGTCACTGTGGGCCTTCCCATCATCCTCTTTGTTAGCTTCATGTGGCCTAATAAGGTAAATATGTATGTATATAGACAATACACATATGTGATCCTGGAGCACAAAAGCAGTCTTAAGCCTCGTACACACCGGGACGGTTATCACGCGCGCTTATCGCCGACGTTTTTCGACGCGTCTTTTGTGTTCATACCCAAGCGATTTTCGCTGGCGATGAGCCGAGTGAACGTGCTAATTCACTCCCTGACATTAGATGGCGCTTAATGAAAAACAGAAATACCCATCAAATCCTATTTGATCTGCAATTCCTCTCCAAAACAACTCCCTCTTATCGAGATGTTTGTAGTCGCTGTCGCGTTTGTCATAAAGCCCTTTGTGTTCAGACACCAATGAGACCAGCAGCTCTACATTCATCTTGCCTCGATGCATCTTCTTGGTCTACTTACTTCCTCTTTGTCGTTAGATATCAATGTGTGCTCGGCAAGACCGTTTTGTGCTTGAGCGCCACCAAGTCATGTTTTACTGTAACTTCAGCAGCTCCAGGCACGTGAACAAAATCGCCAATCTCATTGGTCGGCCAGTTTTTAACGCGGCGCGTCAAACCAAAAATATTAGCCCGAGGCGTTTTAAAAAAATTATGCATTTATGCTTCGCGTTTTGCACGTCAGTGTGCACCAAGCGGAAACCTCCCGTTGTGAAGCCAACAAGGAAGTGACTTAAACTGTAATTCGTCAACTGGCCACTAGGATATTAATATTCGATATGTACCATATAGTGCCTGAATATGTTTGGTCCACTGGTCATTACAGTCATGTGAACTTATGTGCTTGCTTGTCATGTTGTGATGTTAATGATTCTGAAAAGCTATCATTTCTTTTTTCTTATGATTTTGGGATGAAATATCAACCAAACATGTTTCTGAACTTGTATTTCATTATTGGTTCATGTTCACAGGTCAGTGGCAGTGATCTGACAGATGTTTCATCATCCTGAACAGTGTCAAATGCTCATATCCAAGCAGGTTTACATTCATCACTTGCAGTGGTGGACGAAGTACACAAATCAAGTACTTGAGTAAAAGTACAGATACATATAATAAAATATTACTCCAGTAAAAGTACTCCTTTTTCAATTTTACTCGAGTGAAAGTACAAAAGTACTGGATTTTTTATGTACTTAAGTAAAAAAGTACTGATAGATAGATTTATTTTGCAATTTTATATAGGCTACTTAATTTAATTTTATATTAGCACATATTTTTTTTATAATCCTACTGCTCAAAATACCTGTAATTTTCCCAAAATAACCACTATATGGAGTCAAGATATATTTTTGTTCTTTATATGGACTACGTTGACGAGAGTGATGTAGTAATGTTCACTGTGAAGCTTACACTGTGAAGTAGTACCTGAGAAAACTATTTATTTACCTCAAACTTAGTCAAAAACATATTCTCTTTTGTCAGAATCAAACTTTGGGCTCAGATAGCACACGATCCTGACAAACACACAGGCTACTGCACTGCCTAGAGAACACTAGTGAGATCAATTCAAAACACTGTTACAAAAACCTGCTTTTGGGAATCAGGAATCATTTTGCAGCTCGACGTCTATTACAGTATACAACATAAACAGAGGGGTACAAATTCAGCAATAAGCTCTAAGAAAAGTTTACTTTCATTACACTACTGCAAAGACATCTTCAGTAGATGAAAAGCACCAGAAAAGTTAAAATGCCAAAGAACTGAGTATGAATGCATAATACAGCATACTGTCAATTACTGTCCAGCAATAAAAAATTCAGCATCCTCTGACAAACAGGTAAAATGTGTTAAAGGTTTTGAGAAATGTGTTATGAAGGCTGAATGAATGGTTTGGGAAATCGGGCCAAATGAATCAGTTATAGTGTGTTAGCAATCGAGAAAAACTAATTTAGTGAATTAGTAGGATTCATCGGGCATTGGGGACATATAGAGCTCAGTATCATCAGCATAACAGTGAAAACTAACACTGTTTCCTAACAATATCTCCCAAGGGCAGCATATGCAGGGTGAAAAGCAATGGTCCTAATCCTGAGCCTTGCAGTACCCCACTTGTGAGCAATATAATACCTCTTAATTTACTGCTACAAAATGATAGATTTGTGCATATAGTGTACATGCATGTATATTTATTAAACTCTGTCATGTATTGTTCTCACCGGCTGAAGACATTCATTAGTTCTGCCCAATCAGTCATTAACTGATGAGTATCTGTGGTCTGGCGCAAGAAAGGCAGAATAAGAATACCATCCTTATGGTCAAGCTTGGAGGTGGGTCAGTGATTTTGTGGGGATGCTTTACTGCTGCAGGAACTGGCAATCTTGACTGTGTGATGGGCTTCATGGATTCATAGAAGTCCCAAGCCATTCTGAGGAGGAATGTAATGCCTTCTGTGGTGAAAATGAACCTTGGTGATAACTAGACTCTCAAGCAAACCAATGATCCCATGCATTCTACCAAATCAACCAAAGTTTGGTTAACCCTCTGGGCCCCTTCGGTCATTTTTGACTGACGAATTTTATATTTTGAAATGTTAAAAATCATAGCTTCATCAGAATATGACACTTGGTGACTTTTGTTGCATTAGCTATGTGAACACGCACAAAAAAAAATCATGGAGATGATTCGGATATGTTAAAGGGTCAAAAAAAAAAAGTCACACTTGGCTCCTTCGTGGTCAAAAATGACCGACATAGGAAATGAATGGGAAATACGAAAATTCAGAGAATCTTTTGGTGGTACAAACTACAAATCAGTCTCTGTATATATGTATATAAGGAGCTATACAGGAGGTTACACGACATTACACAAGTTTTTATTTTTTAATGCCACCAGATGGCACAATTCTCACTTCAAAAAATGGATTTTAAGTGCTTTCATTGTTTTAATGTGAAATATTGCATTTATTGAAAATTAATAAATAAATAACAAAAAATATATGAATTCTAATGGGAAAAAATAGCTTATTAAATTTGTATAAATATTGCATAGTATCATAACATCCCCTCAAAATACTAAATAATAATCAGAAAATATTATTGAACAAATGTATTACAATGATTTTCTTGGAGAAAAAAAAAACAAGTTACATTTTAAGGCTTCGGTCACTTTTGACCGCTAAGGAGCCAAGTGTGACTCCTAAACGAAGAGGCCCAGAGGGTTAAGTAATCAGTCCTGGAATGCCTTGGAGTAGCCTTCTCCAGACTTTTTTCTGTGCACACCACTAAAGGGATCATTTTCTGAAAGGTGCTTTGAAACATGAATTTGTGAAAAGTGCTACATAAAAAAAAAAATAATAATTAGCGGGACTACAGATCAGTGTAGCATTTCTAACTTTTTCCACACAAGATATGTGACTCCTAAACGAAGAGGCCCAGAGGGTTAAGTAATCAGTCCTGGAATGCCTTGGAGTAGCCTTCTCCAGACTTTTTTCTGTGCACACCACTAAAGGGATCATTTTCTGAAAGGTGCTTTGAAACATGAATTTGTGAAAAGTGCTACATAAAAAAAAAAAATAATAATTAGCGGGACTACAGATCAGTGTAGCATTTCTAACTTTTTCCACACAAGATATGGGCATTTTTGGTTATTTAAGCTGTACACATCATTACAAAATGTACATTCCAAGTGTCATTGGTACGTCTCAATATGTGGGGGGGAAAAAACTAAACCACTTTTTTATGGTGCGTACAAACCATTTCACAGCACTTTAATCTTAAATACATTGTTAATTCAAATGTATTCACACTGTCTGTACATTACCACTTCTGCATATTACACTCTATACTTGGATGTCGCTCTATATAGCTGTATATTCTGTTTTCTAGACATGTTATTTTACTATTCTGTTTAACTGTTGTATTGTTCGTGAGAATTAGAAGATTCTACATAATTCTTGCTTTCTTTTCCATGTAATAATTTTAGGAAAATGTGCTGAATATGTCAATGCAAAATAACAGGCCCAAAATTGATCTTAAAATCAGCTTCATTTTCTTTACGCACAATACAACTTGCTCTTTGTTTTGAGCTGAAACATTGACAGGTTTTGCGAGATTCAGGTTTTGAATTCAATTAGCTCTGCGCTGTGTGAACATCACACGACTACTGTAATGCAGACAAATGACTATATGTTACTCAATAATCAATCAATCACCATCTTAGTGA